TGTAAGTAGAATTTGTTTTCCAATTCTTCATTGCCAGTGTATAGAAGCATGGCTATCTTTATATGCTGAATTTTTATCCTTATCTCCAGGATACATTGCTAGTTATTTGTCTTTTTGTGCAATCTTCAGAGTTTTCCATATATAAAATCATGTTAGCTGTGAACATAATTAAAATTTACTTGAATGCCTTATATTTCTTTTTCCTGCCTCATTGATTGGGCTCCAACCTCTGATACTATTTGAAGAGAAGAAGAACTTCATCCTAAAGGAAATGCTTTTAGTTTTTCCACCAGTGAGAAGGATGAGATTCTAAAATGAGAAAGGAATTTGTTTTTAAAATGATAAAAATGCCAATAATCTATATTTTGTTAATACTGTACCAGCATTGCTTTCTTAGTTTTGTAATTATAACTATGTAAGACTGAACATTGGGAAAGCCTGATAAAAGGTAGTTTGGAGCTTTCTGCACTATTTTTGGCATCTCCTTTGTAAGCCTACAAAGATTTCCATGTGAAATGTTGCCTTTATAATATATGATACTGTCATTGCTTTTGGCTGTTCACTGGAACTTGAATGCATGACCCTTTGCTGTAGACACTACATGCTTCAATCCCCAGATGATGGGGGAAGTCCTGTGTATATGTCAATAAAGCACTGTCTGGCCAATAGGAATCTAGATAGGTGGGGCTAGGAATCCAGGAGGATTCTGGGAAGGAGAAACACAGGAGAGTTCGAGATGTAACCGCCATGGGGTAGGAAGCCCAGAACTATTCTCCGGTAAGAGAAATACATAGATTAACAATTATGGGGTAATTACTTAAGTCAGAGCTAGCCAGTAAGAAACAAGAAAAGGCCAACAGCTTCATAATAAATACAGCGTCTTGTGTGTTTATTTGGGGACTACAAAGCAGCAGAGCCCAGGCGACTGGCGGGGGATAAACCAAAGCAGCTAGCAAGAAAAAGCTTCCCTTAACACCCAGACATAGAGAAATCAAGTTGGAACTGAACTGGGAACTTCCTCCTTACCAGAGGATGTCTTTCTAGTGCTGCAAAGGGATATGTCAGATGATGAGAGACAGAAAAGACATTAACAATCTTACCCAACTATGAACCTTGTAAGCAATAGCAACCTGCAATTCAAAATATGCCCACCAGTACATACAGTACTAGCATGAGTTATGGGGGTAATAAACTGCTTTCTGATTGCATTTGAGGACTACTCTATAGGAGGAAACCCATACCTGGTGCTATATGCACTATAAACCTGATCAATAACTGTGGCTTAGGACATCAGAGGTCCTAGGGTGGAATTTGATACTATAGTTTGAAAAATGGGCATGCTGTTAAACTGCCATCTAAATATTCACGTTTATACCCATTGATTAGAGCCACTCTCATCTTTGATCAGAGAAACGTCTTACTGCCTTAAGTGGTGGTTAAGAAAGAGATTCAGAAGTGGTCAAAGTGCCTAGAATAAGTGACAGTGAAGAACTCAGCCCTAAATAAGACAGCTCAGGAAACACCACAGAGGAGGGCAGAAAGGATGTAAGAGACAGAGGATGAGAACATATGCAATAAAAAGACATCTTGTGGGCATGGCAGAACCATTGCGCTCATGAACTCAGCATCTGTGGTCACTTGCATCACACCTTTGCAGGACTGAACAATAGACAGGTGATTGGCCTATAAGGGTCTGTAGGCAGTTAGTGGTTGTGGGCAAAGGGTGTCGTTTTCTTCAGAGGTGAGGCTACTGATGAGCTGCCTATTCTCCAGTCAATACCCCCAGCCATGCTCATGCAAGCGTCTCTAGCTGGACTCAGTGAGTCTCACACAGAAAGAGACATGAGAGCAGCATGGTGGCCTGGAAAGAAGAGGTCAGCAGCATGGTGGGAAAGGGGCGTATGAGTGAAAGTCCTTAAATACATGTATGAAACCGCTAAAAAATAATATCGAAAGTCAAAAATGCTTTGGGATGCAAAAAGTGAAGAGAACACAGTGAGTCTTTTGAGTCTTGAAGGGTCTTTTCAGGAAGATGGGCCCCATTTCATTCTTCATGGCTTAGTTCTCTTAGGAGGTGTCCAGTACTATGCCACTCTGCAGTTTGAAGCTCCTGAGGGAATTTTCTCATTTGGCATATTTAGGAAGAACCAGGCACTGCACTTTGGCATATCCAAGATTTTACTGGAGGGATTTGTCAATTGGCATAGCTGAATTTATATTGAGGGACGTTCTCAAGGGTAATTTGTTTCATATCTGAAACATGAAGGTGACTTTCCAGGGTTGGTTGTGAATATTAACCAATGTCATGGTTAAGAAAGAACTTCATCCATGGTAGGTATGCAACAAACAAACCTTTCTTCTATATCGTTGAAAGCATTTTAGAACACAAAAGGAAACAAGGTGTGTTACCATTCCCATCCTAGTGCTTATCAGAACAAAATGCAGGTATGTAAAGTGGTTACCAAAAGCACTGCCCATTCTGGTCTAACCAGATGCTACATTCACTCCAGAGCAACAGTGTGCCCCAGAGCAAAGTACACACACAAAGGGCATGGGGGAGGGGGCATGCATTGCACAGCAGGCCAGGCCAGGCGCCCTGTGCACGGAGATGGAAATGCTGCTAAGAGGAGAATTAGACAGCTGAAAATGGGTGTGTCTGGAGAGCTGCCACACTGTGAGCCCAGGGTGGGTGGGAGGAAGCTGGGGAAGCATCCTGACCAGGTAGATGAGAAACAGAACCCTGGAGATGAGGAGAGGCAGGCTGAGTCATGCTTAGCCCAAAGGCAGGAGAAATGGGCCTGGCTGTTGAGTAAACCTGGAACTCAGGGAGGCGACTGGTGTTTCAGGGTGGACTGTATTTACCAGTCACAGAAGTGTTTTAAACAGAGAAACCAGATGATGGGACCACAGCCCAGTCCTTCAGGCTCAGTTCTGGTGTGGAAAACTACAATCACTTTGGCAGCTTTCGGTGGAAAGCATGCTTCGGTGTCTATAAAAATCACCAAATGACCAGAGGACTGAACTGTGGGCTGTTCTGTTAGAACAAGGCATCAGGGGGACTAAGAACTGATGAAGCTTTTTGGCAAAGACACCAGATGGCAGCTATCAAAATTGTGAATGCATTTCCAGTTGACCTAGAGATTCCAGTCTAGAGGGAAAAAAAAAACCTCTATTCTATTCTAGAAAAAAATCTACATATGAACATGATAATGAATATGCAGGATTTTCCAAAGGAAAATTATATATTTAAATAATTGGATAAATAAAATATAGAATCAAACATTACGGAATCAATAATGGGTTCTATGGGAGCCCTGGGGAGATGGCTCAGTGGGAAAGTGCTTGATGCACAAATAGAATCCTGAATCCCTATCTGCAGTGCCCAAGTGAAACAACAGAACTCCCAGCATGCCTGCGACCTCTGCACTGTGGAAGCAAACAGGTGCCCTGGAGCTCTGGTCAGCCAGACTAGCCAAACTATTGAGCTCCGGGTTCAAACGAAAGGCCCTGTCTCCAAAATAACTGAGTGGAGAAGTGATTGAGGGAGATCCTCAACATTGACCACTGGCCCGGGATTATCTGGGCGGGCAGACGCCATTGACCTCTGGTTCGGAATTATGGCAAATTCCTCAAAGACTATATGGCACCTTTATGAAGAGATCTCCAGGACTGCTAACTGAAGGGTGGAGGGAAGGTTCAAGAAAACAATGCAGAGCCAGGTGTAGTAACATATGCCTGTAATCCCAGAACTTCAGAGCCTGGGGCAGAGGGATATAGACCATTTGGTGCCTGTCTGGACTACATAGGGAGACCCTGTCTGAGAAAAAACAAACAAACAGAATTTTTAAAAACCTCCAGAGCATGTCCCATTTCTGGGCTTTAGAGGTGTATGAACTGGATAAATGAAAAACCCTGTCCACAGTACTGTCTACTTGGGGCAGGGATCAAGGAGGCCACTAAGGAGGTCACTAGGAAGTCACTACCTCTTCCTCTGAAAACCCTGCATCACTTGACTCTGACTTGGGGACTAAGATCATTACTGGTCACCTCCAAAGTCCTTCTTAAAATGAGATAAAGAAAACAAGACTGAGCCAATGTGGTGGCACGCAACTTTAATCCCCAGCACTTGGGAGGCAGAGGCAGACAGATCTCTGTGAGTTTGAGACCAGCCTGGTCTACTAATCAAGTTCTAGACAGACAGAGCTAATACACAGAGAAACCCTGTCTTGACTATAAGAAAGAAAGAAAGAAAGAAAGAAAGAAAGAAAGAAAGAAAGGAAGGAAGGAAGGAAGGAAGGAAGGAAGGAAGGAAGGAAGGAAGGAAGGAAGGAAGGGGGAGGGGGAGGGAGGGAGGGAAGGAGGGAGGGAGGGAAGGAAGGAGGAGCAACAGAGATAGAGGAAGAAAAACAAACCCATCAACACTTGGAATGAGCTGGGGCTGTGTCAAGAAAGGCCGGGGCTGGCATGAAGATCAACAGTTTCTTGTGGGTTTGCTTATATGAACAAGAGGGTGGGCCAATGAACAGGGATTACATTGTCTTTTGTGTGCCTGCTATGGTTAAGGTTGTACTTAAGGAATGTGGGCAGTTGGTATTTAGAGAGAGGTTAGAAGGCCTAGTCTGGAAACGTGGAGAAAAAGGAGAGGACAGATAAATTCTACCCAGGTAGAACACTCTCCGGTCATGCCCAACAGAACCAATGTCACCCATCTCTATCCACCACAGCCCATCTCCAATGGACTCTGCACTCCCTGGTGATTCCAAACACTGCTAGATGTCAAAGAAAGGAGTGAGGAATGGGGGACACCTACCCCATTTGGGAATCACCCAGGAAAAGCTCTCTCTGACCCCACCATGAGATAGATACACCATATATAGATACGCTCTGGTGCTGGAGGCCAACAGTGACAGTGACAACTATGCTTAATTCTGTGTGTCTCCTTTGGCTGTCAAGCAGGTGCCTCACACTGCCTACCCATCTGTCAACGTCTAGCTAATTCATTTCCTTTGACTTTTTAAAGTACATATTTATTTGTCTGCATGTGAGTGTGTCTGAATCCATTCATGAGAACCACATGCATGCAGGAGCCCTCAGAGATCAGAAAAGGGGTTTGGATCATCCAGAACTGACCACCAGAGATTGGGAGCAAATATGAGGGTGCTGGGAACCGAACCCAGATCCTCTGAACAACCAGTAAGTACTTTAAAAGGCTGGGCCAGCCTCTATAGCCTGGGATTTCTGAGTACTTTGAGTCAGCTCAGCACTGTAGGAGGGAGGCTCCCAGAGAGAAGGCAGCCCCAATCCAGATGCCCCGGTGTAGCATGGGACCCTGTCCTGGTTACATTCAGTCACGAGGAAACAAAGCAGGTGGTGGGGAAGTATCGATAGCCGCTTCCGTGGACCCAGGGTTATAATCCAGAAATGAATGAAAAGACCTGGACTGACGAGACAAAAAAGCAAATTCAATTGAGGTGCATAAAACTTATGAAGCATATGCTGAAAGCACCCCGGCAACTGGCTCCACAGCTTTCCCATAAATAACACAAGGACAAAGAGGTGAGGGAAATAAACCCCAGGACCAAGAGAAAGTCCCTTCTCCCACAGGGTGTGCAGTGGAGGTTGCCGCCTGCAGAGGGCCATAAGCTGGAAATAGGGACAACTTTGGGAGGCCTACTTCATCTTAGTTTCTTCGTACTTTTGACAGCTTGCAGGCAGACAGTGCAGGCACAGTCTGTTTAGCATCTAATTATGTTTACTGGGAAAAGCAGGGCTCAGGAGGGAGGGGATCAGATTCCACACTGCCAGCCCCTCTGCACCTCCCCGACACCTCTCCACCTGACCTCCTTACTTGGAAGAAATGATCTGAAACTCTTCTTTGGGAAATCTCTAGGCAGGTGTGGACACAGTGCAGATGTCAGAGTCCACATTTGCTGGCAGCTAGAAGAGGTTGAAGATTTTTTCCAGGGCTCTTTCCAAGGCACACTAGGAGGTGGGCTAGGAACGTGCAACTCTCCTGGTAACTGCAAGAAATCACGTTCCTCTCCCTGAGCCCATGTCCCCTCCTGAGGCCATGTCCCACCCTGAGTCCATGTCCTTCTCTCTGAGCTCCTATCCCTCACCCAGAGCCCATATCCCTCTTCCTGATACCACGTCCCTCTCTGAGACCACATACTTCCCTCTATAACCACAGTCATCTTCCTGAAGCCTTGTCCCTCTTTTGGAAGCCATGTTCTCCTCTTTCTGAAACTGTGTCCCTCTTTCTCTTCCAGGAAACTGGATCCTGTAGCAAGGAGGGGAAGGGGAAAATTCAGTAACCAGGAACACTTTGGACACTCACTTCATTCTAAAGAGCCAAGAAAAGAAATATGACTGTCCCTGGACTCTCTGACCATTCTCTGCACTTTTGATCAAGCCCCTCACAGCACTCAAGGGGGACAATAGCTGCCTCTGAAACCACAGCTGCAGGGGGATGAGTTTATATGATGAACACTGCCAGGAGGAAGCCAAGGGATGTGACCAAAAGAAAGAGCCAGAACAAAAAATCAGGCCAAAGAAGGGAACAGAACCCAGCCAGATCCAGACAGTAGCATCTGCTTCCTTACAATGAATTGTTTCAATTAATTTTTTTGAAGAATCAAAAGACACAGGAAGCCAGATGCCATAATTTAAGACAAAGTGGTAGCTGGAAAGGCCGGCTCCTTACTGAGAAAGACTGTATATTGTTTTCATTATCTGTTCATATGTGCTCTGTTTTCCCATAAAACCCAGAGCCCATTCCAAAGGGCGAAGTGTGTATGTCTGCAGACCATTGATATGGAAGCTATTTGTGCCGGTTAGAAATGCAGTCAGCTGCACATAAGAGAAAGCCTGACAGGCAAGGGCTTCGTGAATAATGATTTATTGGTCTTATGCAGAAGCTGTCTGGGTCAGCAATCCGGGAACAGCTCGGGAGTCCAGCACTTCTTTTGGCATCACGAACCTTGCGTTTCAGGCCTCCATCTTCATGCGCCAAGGTTCCAGGATAGCTGCAGCCCTTTCAGTCATCACCTTGGCATTCCAGGCAGAAAGAAGGGAAGGAAACCTAAGTGGGTAGCATTTGTCTCCAGAAAGCGAAAACTTTACCCCCAAGTCCTTTAGAAGCAGATTTACAAATCAGGGGCTAAAATGGGGCCACCGTGTGACCACTCTTAGCTACAAAGAGTTTGATTTACTTTTAGCTGGACATAACCATGTCCCCCCAACACACACACACACACACACACACACACACACACACACCTTGGTACTACTGCTATAATGAGCTTGTGTTATGGGCCAGAGGAAGAGCTGAGCAGCCCAGCTGGCCACAGAGGTACAAGCACACACATCATCCTGGGCATCCCCTGCATCTTCCATTTGATGTGAGTATGTGGGACAAGGCTGCTGACATTAGAAGCTGTGGGAAGAGCCCAGCATCTTATGCCAGTACCTGGATGCCCAATACTAGTAACTCTGCACATGAATTTGTCTTGTCTACACCTCAGATTTCCTTGGCAGAGGCGGGGTTATATGATGGGGTAAGGAGGGCTATGGCAACAGGTGCAGTGTGTGTTTTGTTTTCTTCCTCCTCTGCACAGGACTGGCCACTGGCAAGTGTTCGCATACTTATCTAACTTCCAGACTCACTGAAAGCAACAGCCGGGCAGTTTTCAACAGCAGCTGAGGTAGCCGCCATTCCTGTATGTGTTAGATGTGTTTTATTCGTTCTTTAGAATCATCGCATTGCGATGTGAGGAATGAGTAGCTGGCATTCTCCTCCATCACACCAGCGTTTACCATGTGGTGAAAGAAAAAAAGAAAAGAATTTGTTGTTTAGGCCTAAGGTTCTCATTAAAAAAAAGCTAGAAACAAGAAATATCATTCAGCCATGGTCAGGAAGGAAATAAAACTATAATGTATGAGCCATCACAGAACAACAGAACCATCACTATTAAAGTTAAAACCTTTCCTTTTTATTTAGAGAAAAGGGGGAAATGTTATGGAATAGAATATTTGTTTAACTATGTAAAGATGTGCTGCTGTTTTACCTTGCCTGCCTAAGGCACCTGGTTAGTCTAATAAAAAGCTTGACAGACAATATGGGCAGAGGAGGTATGGGCAGCACTGGCAGGCAGAGAGAAAAGGAAAGTCAACCAATCGGGGCCAGCCAACTGGGAGCCAGCTGGCCAGGGGCCAGACAGACAGACAGACACAGAGGAAGCAGGAAAGCAGGATAGACAGTACATAAATGAGGGAAAGGCTTGGAGCAGCACATAGATGAACAGAAATAGGTTAATTTAAGTTTAAAAAAAAGTCTAGCTAGAAACAAGCCTAAGCTAAGGCTGGGTAGTCATAATTAATAAGTCTCTGTGTCATGATTTGAGGGCTGACGGTCCAAGGAAAGCCTGTTACACATCACGGAGCAACAGAACTATCACGGAGCAACAGAACCATCATAGAGTAACCACCAGACCTTTTCCATTCCGGAAAGAGAAGCAGTTACACTCCCCCAACAACTATGCAATTATCGCCAGTTCAGTTCACAGATCATGTGAAGAGGTGTGCTCAGTGGTCACATCCTGCCTGCCCAGCTGCCTGCAGACAGACTCTACCTAATGCTCAACTCCTTTCTGTAAACGGCTCCTGTGGGAACTGGGTCATCCCCTGGAAGGATAGGTCAAAGGTTGTAATTCTTTGGTAAGTTGCCCAGAGTCACCTTTTATGGTCAGTGGAGCCCAGGTATGAAGCCTTGGACACCACATCTATGTCCTTTTCTCTTAGAGAAATTTATGGCCCAGAACAATATATAGAGGCCCAGTGAGACAGCAGGAGAGCATGTGTGGTGGCATTGAAGATTGTCAGAGGAAGGTGCTGGTTCAGGCTTGACTTTGGAGATAGCAAGAGCGACTTATTCTGTGGTCCCAAGTCACGAGGTTTCACTATGGAGTGCTATGGTGACCCATATGCCACGGGAAAGAATATCGTTGCTCTCTATATAGAATATATTCCTTTGAACAGTCAAGCAAATGATTGAACCAAAAAGTCCTCCAGAGTCCCTTAAGTGACAGCTCAGGACAACCTGTTCTGAGCAGATGCCAGAACCTGAAGCAGGTTCAGGAACCCAGCAGACCAAATGAAAAAACCTGTTTTCCCCACCAGGACACAGAGGCAGCTGCAGTCCTCAGGGGTGACTGTGAAACCTGGAGAAGCAGATGCTATCTGGAACTCAGGAGGCACTGAGCAAGCTTGGTGAGCACTCCTGATCATCCCGCAGGAGTGGGAAGACCCAAGAGGAGAACCCTGCCCCCAGCCTTAAGTGGTTAGCAAGGCAAAGCAAGCAGGCAAAAGTATTTCTTCCCTCAGAAGTCAACAAGCCATGGCCTGGGGGGACTCTGGTTTCTGCTGGGAGCCCCTGATCCCTGAATAAACACTAGAGTTTCAGGCCTTGTGTCCTTGGTCCCAGAACAGCATTTTCAGAAAACCATCCTAGCCAGCTGGGCACAGAACATCAAGTTAAGAAAAAGACCCAGGAACAGTTCCTGGCAAAGCAGCCATCATCCAGAGGCTAAGCACATTTATCGATAAAAATGAACAAAAATACTGTTTTTCTTTGTTTATACCATCTAGCGAGTACCGTAGTCGTGTGAGAGACACATTAGCATAGCTGTGACTACCCTCTGTGCATAGAACTTGCTTCTTTCACAAAATGTAATTACCCCACTCTCCATGCTTTTAGCCAAAGATAAAGTTGTAACCATTTAAAAGGTCAAAGCTGAGATCAAACTGTGTGTGTTTTAATCTCAAAATTTTTTAAAGAAAATGTAAATTGGGCCAAAATTTCAAAAATAACGAGCTTCATGGGTAGACTACATGTTCATGAAAAGTTTCCCGTGACATGCAAACTACCTCTTGGGCAGCATGTCTTGTGTCTGAGCCCCAGATGTCACCTCAGATGAGGAGTCTACTGTGGAAGCGCCAAGCTGACCCGTCGCTGAAAAGAAGCAAGTGAGTGGAATAGAAATATCACCACTTCCCCAGCCCTCCATAGCTGAAATCAACACTTTCCAGCATGAGGACCGTGACAATTTATCTGGCCAATATTTGAAATAAATGCCTTGGTATGTTCATATCGATCGCACTTATTTTTTTGCTGACAGAAATCATATCTGCTAACTCCATCCCTGGGTGTGTGTGTGGGGGGGGTGGCTTCAGGGATGATGAATTCCACTAAAGGGCATCATAAACTGTCCTGAAAAACGAGCCCCACTTGCATGGAAACAAAATGCCTTTCCTTCCACATGGTTGTTCTTCAACAAGAAATAATGAAGGAAAACGGTGCTGAAATGCGTGCTGCAATTCTTAATGGCATTTTAATAGTTTAAATTAGGAGCAAAAGGCCTCTCGGCATGTGGCTTTGCATAAACATTGCCCTTTCGTGATATTAATTGGGGTAGGGAGAGATGTCAGATGGCGGGCTTCCTCTCAGCTCCCAGGGTACAGCAGCTGAGCTTCCTCGAATCCCCTCAGACATAGCAGCCAGTCCCCGCATTTCAGAGGAAAGCAAACCCTATGAGCACCCCCACACATGGTGGAGTTTCTTAAGTGTGACGTGCATACAGTGCCAGTGTGCCTGTCCTGGCCACTACTGCGTTTGCAAGATCTTAGTAGACACGATCTGACAAGAGCCACGTGACTCTTCTCAGTCACTACAAAGACAGTCATCTAGATAATAAGATTCCAGAAGAGATAACCACGAGGGCCTGAGAGTTGCCAATTAGGAGATGTTCCTGAGACTCCAGCATGCCAGCAGAGAAAGTAAGATCAGTTCTGCCAGGGAGAGTGGATGATAACTCTATGTCCAGATCCACATGAGTGCTGTGGACTTGTTCTAAGAAGGAGTCTCCATTTACTGTTCCAAATCCCGAGGACACGCTTGTAACAACATAGGCGAGGGCTGCACTCTGTAATTCCTCATGCAGCTCCTAACGTCTGGGAAACACATCAGCATCGAAGAGATCCTGTCTCAGAGGTAGAAAGGGATGGGTGACATTTGACCTCTATGCATATGCTATGGCACATGTGTCCACACACACACACACACACACACACACACACACACGTGTACAGACACACAAAACATAACAACAATAATAAAACAAAGAAAGGAAAGCAGCGAAGGAGGAAGGGAGGAAGAGGGAGGAACAGTAGAAGGGAGAGAGGGAAAGAAAGGGAAAGAAAGAGAGAACACAAAATATCAGATAAAGGGTGAGTCATAAGGAAAATAAAATTGGAAGATGGATGTCATGGTGTATATTTGTAATCCTAGCACTCAGGAGGCTAAAGCTGGAGGGATGGCACAAATTCTCAAGGCAAGCCTGGGCTACATAACCAAACTTTTCTCAAAAACGGGGTTATGAGAAGGAAAGGAGGGAAGGGAAGGGAAGGGAAGGGAAGGGAAGGGAAGGGAAGGGAAGGGAAGGGAAGGGAAGGGAAGGGAAGGGAAGGGAAGGGAAGGGAAGGGAAGGGAAGGGAAGGGAAGGGAAGGGAAGGGAGAAGGGGGAGGGAAAGGGAGGGAAGGGAATTAAGGGAATCAAAGGAAACACTCAGAGAAGGGGTGGCCTCCTGATCCCTTAATGACCAAAGGGAACATCCTGAGATGGCAGGAAAGGCATCCCAGGCAGTTCCCAGACCAACACCCCCCTCCACACCCCCACACAGGCCCACAACCATGCCATATACCTGAACAGCCAGCCAGGTCTCCAGAGCAACCTGGAGTGTGTTTCACACAGGCCTTACTGGCTTATTGCTGTAGATGCAGTGGCAGGAAATGGAAGGTCATGGATTCCCAGGAGAATAGGAAACTCTGGAAGCTGCACTCCAGGTGCACAGAACATCTACAGAACCCCCTTCTGAGCCTTTCAGACAGCCACCAGCAGCACCACTGAATCAAAGTGCGAGCAGGAAGGTCTGAGATCTTTGGCAGACACTGGGCTACATATTAGATGCACACCTTGCTGTCCAGGCAGTTGGTCTGGATTAATCATAAGTTTTCCAAACATCTCATGATGGTCACAGGATCTCCCATGTAGGACACAAAATTTGAGCTGAGGACTATCAGCCTCAACAAGAAGACAAGTGTCCTTGAGCCAGATGAGAGCAGTTGACTTCCTCCACACCAGGGGCTCTCACTGAGGTAATACTCTTCACATGGCATC